TATTCTACGATCACATTTTACATGAATTGTGTTTAGTTTTATTAAATTTTACAGAATTTTCAGGTAATTGATATATTTTTTTTACATAATATTAAAATATCTTTTCATTTGAAATGTTTTGTTATGTATTTATCATAAGAATCATATAAGTTGATTGAAACTACATTGCATTGGTTAAAATGTGTCTATTTTGTCAGATTTCAGCTAAATAAATTGAAGCACGGTGACACATAACAATGGAACTATCAAAAGATGTTATCGAAGGCTTTGCAAACATCTCAAATGTAAACATGATCACTGAAGATAATTTCCTGCAGATCTTAGATGCTGTCGTTTCTCATTTACAAGCAAATCCTATAGAAACAAGTTGTAAGTACTCTATTTAAAATCAGCAAACAATATTAAATATTATAAAATGATTTTCATTTGTAAAATTGCAGGCATTGTCAAGTCAGCAGACTCCAAAGCAATCTTGACAAAGAAGATCTTCACAGATGTTTCATGTTTATTCATAGAAGCAGCTCAGCACGATTTAGATGAAGAGAGTTTAAAAAATCTGCTGTGCCAAACATGTACCAATGAACAAAGAAGAAATAAACTGTGTGAAGCATATATTAATAATAAGAAAACTATACAGTCTCAATTGGAATCCATAAGTAGTAATCCACCACACATTGTTGATGTAGACTGGCATCTGGATTACCGTGTGAAGGTAATCAATTAATTTGATCCACTGACAATTGCTTTACTCATATAAAAATGATTTTTAGCTGGACACATGTAACTCGCTGGGTGTTCCTCTGTATCATGTACGGCTTAGTACTAAGGAACATGAGAGAATAAATTATGTGACATTCTCATGTACGATACAGCAGCTGCAAGAGTTAGTGTTTAAGCTTAAGGACGCTATCAGATACTCAGAGAAACTAACTAATGTGTAACTCCGTATAATAGAGTTTATGATTTCTGCTATGGTATTCACTCAAATACAGCATAGGCATGTATGATGTCTTAAGATCGCGATAGTAGTACTTTTATTGGTGCAATTACTGTGAATTTGAATAAATAATTGCGTGTAAATAACACTGTCCGACAAATTTTAACTTTCAACATTCTTATGACTTTTAATGTGCTCGATATGAATTGGAAAATCATCCGAATTTTTGAGGAATTGAAAATTTAAGATTACTAGTTATTGAAACACAAAATTAGTTTAGACAGTGTAATCGCCAGTACGCAGCTTACGACATTATACATGCAAAGCGTGAACATTTACACAAGAGAGTTATCATAGTAATCGTTTAATAATAAATTCAATTTTATGCATATAAGTGTAATGGTAAAATCTTCTTACAAACAACAGACTGTGTAAAGTATAATCAACTATATTTTTCTTCTCATAATTAAAACATTCCCTACTTGACGTAGTATTTATTATTTACTGTACTGATAACACGCGCGCGTGTGTGTGAGAGCGTATGTGCGCGCGCACACAAACATACGCGGAACACTTGCATAAATTCGGAAAAACAAATGACGATCAACGTTTCCATAAATAAAACATATATCGAAAAAATACCATTCGATCCGTTTTCCCAGCTGAGAACCAATACCCGGAAAATTTTTTCCTCGCGCTGAAAAAATTCTACACACCTACTATATCTTTTTTTCCCCCACATTCGCATAAATCACTCACTCACTCACTCAGGTACACCTTGTATACAAAAGAGCCGCGCGCGCACACAACCAATAACTTATTAAAAATACATTGTCGCCTTTTGCTCTACAGTCAGACATCTCTCTAAAAATTGCTTTCTCGTAATAGACAAAAAAATACTATCGATATACCAGTTCTTACGTGGCTAGAAAATATGCGTGTTAAATTATATTAATGATCGATAATTTCTTGCCTTTTTATATCCTAATACATGATATAGATTTTTTCTTTGAATTCATTATACATTATGTACAAGTAAACGTGTCTAAAAAAAAGATCGTCAAATATTAAAATTTCTCTATACATTAACTATTTCTTTCTTTCCGGCACTTGGCGAAATCAATGGTGAATCGGTTTTCATTATTTTTGTTTCTTTATCCATGCGTGCTATCTCGATAATTCGGTGCGGTACAATACATCGACAATGACAACTAATCAAGCTGGAAAGAGAGAAACCTCTCGGGGTGTAATAACTTTTCCACAATTCTCCATTTTAACAACTATCTCTTTTGATCGATTCATTTAACGTTACTTCATATATAAGTTTACTGTGTTAAGGCCTCGGAAATTTTCCTATAACTGCTTCCATTTTTTTTTTGTCGAGAACCAAGCCAATCGAAAAAATAAACTCTCGTCATCGCTAAATCTATTTCATTGAATCTTCGAGGCTTTGGTTGAATGAGACGACAACAAAATTTCTTCGAAAGCGTCATAAATACTGACTTTGCGAAATCATTTCACATAAATAATGTCACGGATTCTTCGCAGAGTCTCCATCGTCACATTCTCAAAAGCAACGTGCAATCTTCTCATGCCAAGGACCCCATGTAAAAAAGCTTCGTCGAGGTGTGTGAAATGTAATAACAACAGAAGCGTAAAAATTTTTATAAAAGCATACGCTAGATTATTTTGAACTTTGAAATTGCACCTCCGTCTTGCTCGTCTGGATCTCAGATCTTTTTTCTTGCTCTTCGGTTCTCCCACATTTTTCACGATTAGATTCTTGTTTCTCATTGCCATCTGTCTGCGTTTCGTTTTGCTCCTTTTTCTCCATTGGCCCTTCATCACTAGTTTTTCCAGCTAGACTTCCATTCATCTGAGACACTGATTTTTCCCTTTTCTTATTTACAGTATCAGTGACCTCATCGGATCGCTTTTTATCTGCACCCTGTCCCTTGTTGCACCCCAACGAGCCTTCCTGTGCTTGTTCTGCAACTTGAGAACTCTCTGGCTTGCTCTTTGATGCACTAGTCTTGCTCTGTCCAACGTTGGAAACTGCAGGAAGCACGGTTGGCTTTGAGTTGTGAATTGTCTCCGTGGTCGTGACATTCTCTGCACTGCTGAAACTGCCAGTCTTAGACAGATTGAATGCACTGAGATCCTCTTGCGGTGCATTCTCTAGAAGAAGTAGATTGTTAGTCTCAAGAGATGTTGTTGCAACTATCTGAGCCTCAGTTTTGGCCAGACTGTAAGATGTGGGTGAGATTGCAGTTAGGGAAGTCGTCTTGGGTGACTTGGGCGAAGAATAGGTGCTAGGTGGTATTCTCTGGACTGTAGGGGGTTGGGAGACAGAGGAAAACCCAGTGGTTTGTGGAATATAACTAGATCGCTGGTACAACTTGTTGATTGAAGGTGGTAAACTACTGTGGAAGGCACTGGGAGATGGAATTCCTATTGGCGAGCGGATCAGGGGGTTTGGGAACCTGCTGGCGTCTGGGAATGGTGGTGCAAAGTGGGGATAAATTAGCCTAGGATTTATATTTGGTGTCGGAGAAGGAATAAATGGGCTTGTCGAGAGCATATTCACTGGAGAATTCTTAGGAGAGATTGACGAGCCAGTGCTCCTGCAGATGTCCCTTGAGAATGGAGGGTTTGGATAGTTTCTGGCGCTTGGAGAGTATGGAGGAGGCGAAACGATGGGCGAGTTGATCGTCGAGACGATTGGGGACAGGGTTTTCGGGTCTATCTTCATCATACTTAGGTTCCCGTTTTTTGAGCTACTAGAAGTATTCGTGGTCGATGTCGGCGTGATCGTTGACTGTTCTTTCTCTTTGCTGTCGTTTCCGATTCCGTACATTGGCTTCACCCCGGAGGCAGGATTGCCCAAGTACCTCGGCATGTTTCTCATCTTGAAGATCTTCGCCGGCTTCGACTGAATTGTTTTGCTCCGCTCGGAGAGCGCGGTTTGGTGTAATTGACTTTGCGTCTCCTTGCTTTGATTCTTCACTGCCACGTAATTGTTTTTGGACAATGTAGGGTTCCAGCACCTCGGAGGATCACGGAGGGTTTTGTAGCCCACCGTTTGGGTTTGTTTCTTGGAGGCGGAGGAAGTTTTCTGTATCGAGTGCGATGTGGTCATTGGAGAAGCAGAGACGAGCGAGGTAGCTCTATGGCCATCCTTCACATTCGAATAGATGTTCTTGTTCTCTGTCGTTATCATAGTGCTGTTGGGGGTGTACACGGGCACGTTGGAGATGTTAGCAAGATGCTGCTGTTTGGCAGCGTCGCCTGACGCCGATGACGAACTGCCTTTTCTTCCAATTTTGAGCAAATCTGGAATGTCCGACTTGTTTCTCGTTTCTGTTTTGTTCTTTTCCTTCGAATTCTCCCCGATTTTGGCGCAGATATCGTTTATCTTCGAACCGGAGGCTCCGATCTTAGCACAAATCTCATTCAGATTCGAGCCCTTTGTGATCAACTCGTTCTTGCGGATCGTAGGCTTCATCAGGGAAATTGGAATGGCATCTGGGCAAGGAGGGGCAGAGTACACGCTGGTTATCTCCAGGTTTGCTTTTGAAGAGCTCATCACTGACGTCGGATAACTGTTCTTTAAGGAGGAAGAGATGCTCATGGGGGACATAGTAAATATAGTTGAATTTTCTGCCATCGATGAGGTCACCATGTTTTCTGGAATCGTGGTGACAGAAAGTTTCTGGGCTGTAGATGTCGCTAGACTTTTCAGAGAATTTTTCAGCATTGTACTGTTCACTATATCTTGAACAGTGTACGAGAATGTATGCGTACTCTGACTCACTGTTGGTGTGGGTGGAGTGTTGATTCCATTCCCAACCGATCCAGATAGAGACGCAGTCAGGTTCAGGCTAGAAAGCTTCTCATTTGCGAATGGTTCAGCTTGTGTATGCGGTGACTTCTGGGGAACCGTGATAGTTTGCACATTGACTTTTTGGGTTGACTCTGTAGAAGCTTGGTCCACCGTCTTTTTCTCTGAACCATTATGCTGATATTCAGCCAATTGCACATTTTTTGCATTGGTCTTCGTTTCCTCTGACTCAGAATTGCTTGTGACTGTGATCTGCGTCGAAATAGCAGGTTTAACTTCCTCTGGCTTAGGCGACATTATTTTTGTGGAAGAAGTGCTTGACGTTTTGTTCACTGTCACTCCACAACTGTTTGTCGTGCCTTCCGCAAGATTCGAAACCTCAGTGGAATTTGTATCCACTTTCTTGGACGCCTGCGGCACGACTTTCCTATCTTTTACGGTCTTCTTTAAAGAGCTATTATTGCTATTGTTAATTTGTCCCGTTTTCGGTTGAAATTGTAGTTTCACACTCAGAGCGTTAATTTTTGATCCCGTATTTATGAGTTTGGTCTCGTTTTTCGAATGGTGATTGAGAAACTCTGGTTTCTTCTCTACGATGATGATGTTGTTATTATTCTTTGACGATTCTTTCTTATCCTTATCGTCTCCAACATTGCATTTGGCTTCAATTTCGTCCACGCATTGCGTTATTTCCTGAGATTGCACATTACTTTTGATTTCGACATTGTTATTATCCGATTCGTTCTTAGGTTTCTCCTCGTTTTTAGTTTTAACATCTTCTGCTTCCTCCATCGAAATTTTTTCGACTTCTATAGTTTTCCTATTATCAAAATCAATCGTTTTAAAAGATTCGTCATCTGTGATTTGTTTGTTCAGGGATTCTTCGTTACTTTTAGCAATCTCAGACCTATTATTAATGTTTTCTTGAACAGGTGTTGTATTCACCGTTTCAATATTTGTAACGGATTCTTCAGCTTTTGTGTTTTTCTTGAATTCCTGATCTGATATATCTGTGATACTCATTATACCAGTCTCAGAGATTTTCAGCTGCACCTCTTTCCACTCTCTCTTCACTATTTTCTCTTCTTCAGAATCAATAGGATTGATTCCAGCGTGAAGCAACGATGTTTTATAATTGACATTGTCCTCGGAAAGTTTTATTCGCTTCGGAGAAGATTCGAATATCCTGTAACTTAAATGCAATGGCACTTTCTGAAACAAACAGAGCGACGTGTTTATAGGACCGAGTTTGAAGTATTTCTGAATGTGTAAAGATCATTAATATTTACCCGCCTCCAATGGTAAATGTACATCACATCCATCAACGTGTAACTACTGTGTAGTGGTTCTTCCTTATACATAACATCTACCCTGTGTGCATCAGTTAACCCATACTTAGCTCTTATCAGTTTCTGCAGGTGAAAAATTGTAACTGCAGCCGGACAACGAAGGTATCTTCGCAGAAAAGGTTTCACAGCTATTTCCTTGACATCATTGGATGGACTAAAGTATTCTAATGACAAACTGAGGGACTCGTCCGGTGAGTATATATGCGATTCTGTGGGTTCTCCTCTTGCTTCTGGAGAAGCTGTTTGGGCACTGGCCTCAGGGTGCTTAGAGTAGAAATCTCTCCGACATCGCATCTCATCTAGAATGAAATTAATAGAATTAATTTTCTGTAGGATATCATTTTTACAATTGTTTATGCAACTTACTTTGGTAGCATCCAGGTACCAATTTGTACACAATGTCCTGCAAAGTGTAATCTGGACGAATGTTAAGCAGCGGTTTATTTTTGTGTACCTGCACCTCACATATTGGACAGTACTTATTGTTCTCCAGATATTTGACAATGCAGCTCCTGCAAACTATAGTGCGACATTAATTGCCCATATGATGAAACTGTTATTTAACTCTTTTGCAACGATATAGTCCAACTGGCTCACCATAAACAAAAGGTTTAAGAAGTGACAAAAGTATACACATACACGAATGCAGGCACTCGATGATGGTGGTAGCATCAATAAAGTATCCGCCACACAACTTGCACGTCAGCTGGTCGTTGAGCTTGGACAACCTTAAACGATGCCCTCCACTCTGACCTGACATTCTACAAAATATAAAATTCATTTACATGTTGGATGGTCGAATGTAAAAAGCATCAAAATGTAAATTACGATAACATGAAAGATTGATGATATTGCGCGGTACGATTGCATCGTCACGATACAAATAAAGCGGTATTCCCGCACAATTTCCAATGTGTTTAACGTGAAAAATGCTGTATTAGAGCCTTTTCGGTTGATTAATAGATTTGAATTATCAGACTTACGTGGCGAACGACGCGAAAACTGTTCGTTTTATCTAGTAATCGCCATTTGATTAAAGAAGTCAGGAAAGTTGGGTCGGAGCTCGAGGCGAGATTTCACAAATGCTCTTCGCGAAAACATTCATCGAGAAACGAAATCCAATCGAAATCTGTGGAAAACACCGTTCCCTCGAAGCACAGAGTATCGTCGGATCCGACGATTTTGTCAGATTTTTGTCAATTTAGTTCATCGTAAAATAGGCCACGGTGCCAGGAAAAACTGTGAGAGAACGACAGCAAAACAAAATGGTGGATAAACAATCATCCCGATGACATTTCCGAAAACATAGGTTTCTCTCTCTGAATACTCTTTCAATGGTATCACACGGGTTTATTATACAATAATCAACCGAAATAAAAAATATCAATAATTTGTTTTCCTCAAGGGATATTCCGGAAAATACAATTGTTACGGTCTAAACAGTCCAACAGATGAAAGGTATCACTTATCGATATGGCTGAAATAGTTTCTCATTATTTTCAGAGATGGCGGAAGATTTGTGGCGGAAGATTTAAATTGATCGAACTAGAGGGAAATTAAAATCATAGGTTAATTTTCATCACTATTTTCAATCGCTAACTGAAAATTGCAAAATGATTAATAGACATTTGTGAAATGAATTAACAAAGAGGAGATTGATAAATGATAAATGAATTCAATAATTGATGAATACGATTCAAATTGCGCGCGCTTGTGCACTGTAGGTAAGGCAGATGTTTCTTTATATGAAGTCGTTGCAAATTTTGTTGCGTATTGTATTGTATAATAATTCATTTGTATATTCGTATATATTTTCTTATAATTTATAAAGATTTCCATACTTAGAGAATTATAATGTTCTCATATTTTATAAATTTTGTAATTCTTATACAGCGAGTTAAAATGTATAGCAAATTAAATAATTTATTGGAATCACTCTTGTATTCATATGAGTTTATTATGCATGTACACGTATATGATTAGAATGTATTGTATAGATATGTCAACAAATGTTGCAAGTAAAAACCTAACCTTACTTGAAGTTTTAACCTATATCTATTCAGTAATGTAATTCAGAATATGAGGTTGCTACTTTCTATATTATTTTATAAGTTTGTATAGTGTATAATATGTATTATATGCGCAAGAAATATAGTTTTAAACAATGCAGTGTGATTCTTTAGAGTTAGTATAAAATAACTGTATTTGGTAACACACTGAATTGTTGTTTTTAATCAACTACGAGGTATTTAACATATTTTGTATAATAATTTAAGATCATATATAAATATCGTTCNCATTAAAATAATTATAATGATAGATAATTACATTGTCAAATTTTATTTCAGATTTTAGAAGAATATTATGCATTATTAGAGGAACCGTGCAATATCAACTTTGGAGAAGCTGCACTTGTGCTACAAAATTCAACTAATGTATATGTCCGCAGGATTGAACGTCTGTTCACTGAAATCAATGTTTTGAAGCAAACATTTTTTGGCTACGAGTAACTATTGTTCTTAAATACAATATAAAATACTAAGTGATGGTTCATTCACATTTCTAACAGGGAAGAAGAAAGAAAAAAGTCAACCAGCAAAGAAAAACGGGTGCCCAAGAAGGCATACATTGATTTTGAAAATTTTGTTATTTTTGATTTGGAAAAATATATCAGTAAAAAGATTGATAAGAAGCAGCGATTTTCAACGCAGAAAAAGATCAAACTGTTGAGCCATCGGTTTACACAGTTGGAAAACAGCGTCACCCAATTGTGTATACCCATTCAAGCGTTCGATGTGTTGGGAGAAATCATAGGAAAAAAATATGATTTCCGGTAAGGAAATATTTATTCCATTTACTTTACAGTCTTCATTTAACTTTAATTTGAAGGTGCAATCAAGCTATAAATACAACTGGGATGTTAGTGGATGAACTGACACCTTATGATTTTAATCATGTCATCGGTTCTCGGGTTCAGAAAGGAAGAAACTCTCTGTCATCCTACTCAGAACCGAAAACTCCTGGCACTGGAACATCAGGGTATCATTCAGCTGCTTCAATAAACGATAATGAATGCGTAACATCGATCATCGAAGAGTTTGAAGAAGAGGATGATTTTTCTTCGCCTATAGCAGATATCTGCACAACAATCGAACCAGAAATCGTAGAAGATGAAAGTGTGATAGATACAGATTCTGCAATTCTGCCTGCTACTGTCTTCTCTCAGCAATATAATACAATTGAAGATCGTCTTACAGAACGTCATAATGAAAACGATGCAGTGTTGCATTCATTTGATGTTAACGATCAGAGTAGTAAGGAAATTGATGAAATTAGAAAAAAATGTCAGAATGAAAAGCCAGAGAAAATGCTTCAAGTCGAGGAAAATTGTACGATGCAAGATAAAAGTTGTGAGATCATAGAGAAACCGGAAAATAATGAAGCGAATAATAATAAACAATCAGGACGTAATTCTAAAGAAGATCGTTCTCAGATAGTTGAGTTAGGTAGTGTTCAGGGCAAGGAAGGATTACGAAAAAAAGGGTATGAGATGCACTTAAGGTTTGTAATTCTAAATCGATGGGCACATTAATATTTTTATTAGGATTGAGAAAATGAAGATGTCGATATGCTATGTGGAGGATATCAATGAGTCTGATTGGAAGCCAATGCCGCTGATTCAGGGAATGGAAACTATTCTTACTGACGAATCGCCTGCCTTGAAGCTTCCGGAATACATTTCTCTTTTGGAAACCAAATTTGGTTCCGTATGTACAAATGTATAATACCAATCTTGCGTTTCGATAATCATGTCATTTGTTTCCAGAAAAAGCGTAAGCTGACATCAAAAGTAAACAAACCGGAGTGTCTTACAAAGCTTTTCCTTCGCGAAGTTGAGTCGTTCACGCAGAAGGAAAAGGATCTTATTTCACAAACGAAACAAACGTTCAAACGTTTGCGAAAGCGTAAGTTCAATTAAATTACTTTGCAAGAGATGTATATGAAGTTCTTAGTATATAAAATAATTTCTTATTTTCGAGCAGAGGAACTGGAAGATTTTATGAAGAATTTTGACGAATGTTTGAAGGGCCCAGAAAAAGAAAACGATGGTACGAGATACGAAGCCATGACAAGTTCGACCATTGATTTACTGGGCTTTCGAATGTCTGAAAAGAAAAACAATTTCATCGAGAATAATACAGTAGAAATGATGANATTTAAAAAGGACATCTCATTTGCATTTTAACAGCTATAGCAAGTTAACCATTTAGCATTAAAATGGTTACGTTACAAGATATTAGCGTACAGCTTATGAAACCAGCAAAGGACCTTGCAGATTGGAAGTTTCCACTATCTCAGGTATAAACTGACATTAAAATAATTATAATGATAGATAATTACATTGTCAAATTTTATTTCAGATTTTAGAAGAATATTATGCATTATTAGAGGAACCGTGCAATATCAACTTTGGAGAAGCTGCACTTGTGCTACAAAATTCAACTAATGTATATGTCCGCAGGATTGAACGTCTGTTCACTGAAATCAATGTTTTGAAGCAAACATTTTTTGGCTACGAGTAACTATTGTTCTTAAATACAATATAAAATACTAAGTGATGGTTCATTCACATTTCTAACAGGGAAGAAGAAAGAAAAAAGTCAACCAGCAAAGAAAAACGGGTGCCCAAGAAGGCATACATTGATTTTGAAAATTTTGTTATTTTTGATTTGGAAAAATATATCAGTAAAAAGATTGATAAGAAGCAGCGATTTTCAACGCAGAAAAAGATCAAACTGTTGAGCCATCGGTTTACACAGTTGGAAAACAGCGTCACCCAATTGTGTATACCCATTCAAGCGTTCGATGTGTTGGGAGAAATCATAGGAAAAAAATATGATTTCCGGTAAGGAAATATTTATTCCATTTACTTTACAGTCTTCATTTAACTTTAATTTGAAGGTGCAATCAAGCTATAAATACAACTGGGATGTTAGTGGATGAACTGACACCTTATGATTTTAATCATGTCATCGGTTCTCGGGTTCAGAAAGGAAGAAACTCTCTGTCATCCTACTCAGAACCGAAAACTCCTGGCACTGGAACATCAGGGTATCATTCAGCTGCTTCAATAAACGATAATGAATGCGTAACATCGATCATCGAAGAGTTTGAAGAAGAGGATGATTTTTCTTCGCCTATAGCAGATATCTGCACAACAATCGAACCAGAAATCGTAGAAGATGAAAGTGTGATAGATACAGATTCTGCAATTCTGCCTGCTACTGTCTTCTCTCAGCAATATAATACAATTGAAGATCGTCTTACAGAACGTCATAATGAAAACGATGCAGTGTTGCATTCATTTGATGTTAACGATCAGAGTAGTAAGGAAATTGATGAAATTAGAAAAAAATGTCAGAATGAAAAGCCAGAGAAAATGCTTCAAGTCGAGGAAAATTGTACGATGCAAGATAAAAGTTGTGAGATCATAGAGAAACCGGAAAATAATGAAGCGAATAATAATAAACAATCAGGACGTAATTCTAAAGAAGATCGTTCTCAGATAGTTGAGTTAGGTAGTGTTCAGGGCAAGGAAGGATTACGAAAAAAAGGGTATGAGATGCACTTAAGGTTTGTAATTCTAAATCGATGGGCACATTAATATTTTTATTAGGATTGAGAAAATGAAGATGTCGATATGCTATGTGGAGGATATCAATGAGTCTGATTGGAAGCCAATGCCGCTGATTCAGGGAATGGAAACTATTCTTACTGACGAATCGCCTGCCTTGAAGCTTCCGGAATACATTTCTCTTTTGGAAACCAAATTTGGTTCCGTATGTACAAATGTATAATACCAATCTTGCGTTTCGATAATCATGTCATTTGTTTCCAGAAAAAGCGTAAGCTGACATCAAAAGTAAACAAACCGGAGTGTCTTACAAAGCTTTTCCTTCGCGAAGTTGAGTCGTTCACGCAGAAGGAAAAGGATCTTATTTCACAAACGAAACAAACGTTCAAACGTTTGCGAAAGCGTAAGTTCAATTAAATTACTTTGCAAGAGATGTATATGAAGTTCTTAGTATATAAAATAATTTCTTATTTTCGAGCAGAGGAACTGGAAGATTTTATGAAGAATTTTGACGAATGTTTGAAGGGCCCAGAAAAAGAAAACGATGGTACGAGATACGAAGCCATGACAAGTTCGACCATTGATTTACTGGGCTTTCGAATGTCTGAAAAGAAAAACAATTTCATCGAGAATAATACAGTAGAAATGATGAGCCGGAGTCCTTCTCCTAACGACACAGGATTGGAATCTGGTCATAATTCCTTCGACATCGTCGCCCAGTCACCTAATACATGCAACGATTGGTACGAGCCCTCGATCTCGGAAATTGATTTGACATATTCGTTGCCAGATTATCAAACGTTAATCGAAGATAAGATGAAGGAAATCTTCAAGGAGTCCAATGTGACGACCGAGCTGGACCAAAATGTTTCCAAATGGCATGCTACCTTGCAGCCAATATTGTCCGAGGCAGAAATTAGACCAACATTCCGAATTCACGATTACGCTTCCCACATAATAGGAAAGTTGGAGGGATTGGAACAGAAGAGGATGACCTTCGACGATGTTGTTCGAGATAAGCCTGCTTGTGAAGTGGCGAGATACTTTCTAGCCTCGTTGCAACTGGTATTTTTCATTATGACATAGCATTATCTGAAAAGAATGAGATTTTATTAAACTCGTTGTCTTTTGCAGGCCAACACGTACAACGTAGAAATAAAAGAAATAAACAACTGTGACAGCATAGAGATAGCATTGCTCGATGGCAAAGACTGTGAGAAGGAATAATTTATTGTGGCAATGAAAAAAGTTATCAAATGTACAAATATTATTTTTCGTATTTATTTGAAGACAAATTATTATTTTTATTTTTGCTGTTTTATATGAAAGAAATTATTTTCATATACGATTGTTACGATTTCATCTGAAAAATGAACGAAATTTTAAATAAAATTAATCTACGGAATTTCAGAATTTTGAATTTATTGCCATGGTGGAACTCGAATTTCGCGCATATCTCCAGATCCAATTTCCAATGCACATGCGTTTATAATGTAAATCCACCGTGAATTACGAGTTCACAATTTTCTGCACGCATGTATGTCCATAAATGTAGGGTATAATCTTATTTACAAACAATTTTTAATTTTTAATTTGAAGAACATGAATAAGAAAGTACAGTAAGCGAGTTTCACTTCTAGTGTTCCGTGATTCGTGTTCGTCACTGTTCTTCGAGACTGAGAGCCTACAGTCTAGAGTTTTGTGTTCGAAGAGCGTTCCCTGCGAATCAGCATTGAGCTCCGTTTCTACCTGCGGCGTCCTGTACTGTCAAATTGGAGTTTCGAGTGTGTCGTGAAACAGTGAAAGTTCAGAGCGAAAGCGAAACGACGGGAGTGGCCCTTTACTCAGCACAATTGGCGGCACCCGATAGAAATGAATTGATTCCCCCCCCGGATAGCTCTGTTGCGGAGTGCTGAAACCATTCGTCTTTGGAATTCCTCGTTCTATTGCATATTCGCAACTTCTAGACATGGAAGACGACCTGCCGACCGAGTACGATGTCATCGTCGTCGGGACAGGTATTGATTTTTGCGATACACCTCCTATTTATTCCATTGACTTTACATTTTCGATCACGACAAATGTACAATCGTTTCCCGCAGGGATGACGGAATCCATTGTCGCAGCTGCTGCGAGTAGAATTGGTAAAAAGGTCCTTCACCTAGACAGGTATGTCAGACATTTTCTGTCCTTCTCTCTACTCTGTTCTTCTTTCTCTGTTCCACTCTCTCCCGTCTCTGTCTCTCGGTCGCACTTCTTCTCGTTCTCTTTCTCGCTTGCTGCACGTTCGTCTCTCTTGTTCTTTACTTGTGCTACTATTTTTCATTATTCTCTTATTTTACTTCACTTTTCTAATAATACTCCGATAGAATATGTATATGTGATATTTTGTATGTACAGAGTGTTCCAATTTTTATGGTAAAAAGACTAGATTCTGTACAAAAACTGTAGCAAAAACGTAGAATGCAATATTTTTATGCAAGACTTTGTTTTTCTTAGAGATTTTTCGAAAAAGTTATTTTTATATTTTTATCTATTATATATGTGTGTATGTATATATAATAATAATAATAATAGATAAAAATATAACTAAAACTGTTGTCCAGTATTTAGCGATACAATCAAATGAAATCTTTATTCCAATAAGAAACAATTAATAAAGGAAGATATTCAGGAATCAATAATACATCAGCTAAATTATATAATCATTTTAATGTAATTATGTAACAATTAAATTCTCTTTCCATCAATTACATCATCCAAAATTTTTATTACAGTAATGAATATTATGGTGGCCTGTGGGCCACGTTTAACTTTGATGGTCTGCAAAAATGGATAGAGGACTTAAAACTTTCGAAAAATGCCACCAAGGATGTATCAGGGATTGAGTTACAGTCAGATGAAAAGTTCTTGAAAGCTAGTGATCAATATTCCACTGTGGAGAATATCGAGGAGACTTGGTATATTTCAAAGTATGTTCTTCTCGATAAATTCTTAATTATGCCCTAAATTTGAAATTAAATTACATATCTTTCTATTGCAGTGAAGCTGATTTACCTTTGCTCTCCTCGAAAGATACTCAAACTGATTGTAGTGGTGAAGGTAGTGGTAGTGGAGATGAAAAAACAGATGAGGATAAAGTTGACAAGAAAGAAAATGTTAAGCATTGGAGTATAGATCGCATAAGAAAGGAATACCGGAAATTCAATATTGATTTGGCCCCAAAGGTACAATGAAAGCTAATAAATCAAACTTTGTTGCTGCCTTTATTGGGCAACTATTATTTTTTTGCAAATAGTTGCTGTTCGCGCGAGGTGAACTCGTCGAGCTATTGATCTCCAGTAATATCTCTCGCTATGCCGAGTTCCGATCGGTCTCCAGAGTGGCGACATTCATGGATGGAAGGTTGACACAAGTACCTTGCTCGAGAACTGATGTGTTTGCGAACAAAACTGTTAGTCTTGTCGAAAAGAGAATGCTTATGAAACTGCTCACGTCGTGCATGGTACAAGGAGCTGATAGTCCGGAGTTTGATGGTAATTCTATAGGAATTTTAATAAATTTTTATTCACAATGACACTAATTCAATTTGTTTTACTAATAGGATTCCAGGAGAAAACATTCTTAGAGTATCTAGAAACAAAAAGCTTGACACCAATTGTCCAGCATTATATAGTTCAAGCAATTGCAATGGCTACCGAGAAAACATCTTGCAGGGACGGCGTTAATCGCACAAAACATTTTCTTAACAGTCTTGGACGCTACGGTAACACACCCTTCCTCTGGCCTATGTATGGTAGCGGCGAACTGCCTCAGTGCTTCTGCAGGTAAAATTGTCAAGACCACGGTCGTTACTCTTATCTAATGGCATTGATTAACAATTTTAATTCCCTACAGATTGTGTGCAGTTTTTGGAGGAGTGTATTGTTTGAAGAGACAGCTTGATGGTGTAGTAATAGATAACGAGAAATGTAAAGCTATCATTAGTGGCAAACAGAGATTGACTTTAGAGCATTTAGTCGTCGGTCAAGGTCACCTGCCACCGGAAATTGTTGCCTCTGAAGGGGAGCAAAGAATATCACGTGGAGTATTTATTACGGACAGGTAATAATCATTAACTAGAAACAAAAGAAAGCGTTTTTATAGAATAACAACAAATCAATGGCTTAAAGAAGAATCTCAAGGAACGTATGCATCTATCATGATTTTATTGCGATTTTTGTAGATCAATAATGCAGGGTGAAAAGGAGAATTTGACACTTTTATATTATCCTCCAGAGGAACCTGGTCAAGAACCTGTTACGCTAATTGAATTGGGACCATCGACAAACGCTTGCCCTCAAGGACTATGTATGTAACAAGTTCTTCTAAAACATTTTAGAATTTCAGGTTAACTAGGTACGTTAAATCTGTTGCTCTGTTTTGATGCAGTTATGGTTCATATGACATGCAAGCGAACGGCGAACGCAAAAGAAGATTTGGCCTATGTCGTCAATAAATTTTTAAGAGCGGAGACCTTCGATCCACTGGCTAATCGTGCATCCATTCATAGCCATACACAAACCGTATCTCCAGACAAGAGACACCTCCAGGTTGATTCTCCGCCATGAAAATCGACATAAAAATTCAATTATTCTGTTATGAAATGGAAAATGTATATTTTCAGGAAGGTGAACAGGAAAACGACAAAGAGGAGTCTGCGGAGAACATAAAGCCTCAAGTTCTTTGGTCGCTGTACTTAAATCTACCTGCAAGTGATATTAAATTAAATGATTCCGCGCCGAGCAACTTACACCTCTGTTCTGGCCCAGATTTAGAACTCGACTTTGACTTTGCTGTTAATCAGGTTAATTTTCTAGATAAGATAGGACGTAGCGTTTCATTACTATGTCATACAATTTAGAGTAATGTCGAATATATTTTTAAGGCAATGAGCATTTTCAAAGCGATGTATCCCGATGAAGAGTTCCTTCCGCGAGCTCCAGATCCAGAGGAGATCGTACTGGACGACGAGGAGGAGCCTGGACCGAAATTCGAGGGAGATATAGAGGCTGAAGAGAAGCAAGATGTCGAGAAGGCTGAGAAGGAGGAATAAATGGTGTTTATTTCGTCTTTTCATCTTGAAAACACGGGCCAGCTCCCTTAGCCGCACACCTCTTTCTATCCAAAGTTGTACGCGCCTTCTTACGTTTGAAAGTTGGCCAAATTTTTATCCGAACGATCGACGAACGAATTTTTACCACCTATCGTGTCCGTAAATAGTGCTAGACGCCATCACGAGCTAACCGAAACAATTAATCTAATTGAATCATTTTATCATCCACTCGGGGACTTAAAATATTAGTTTGTCTAGCACTCTTTGTAGACTCTTTTCTTTGAAAAAAATGTTCTGAACACTGAGAGAAAAATTGCTCGTCGATTTTCGAATGAAATGATCAGTCAGCTGGCGCTCAAGTCTGCGTTAAACACTCGCTCTTATCAGATTACAGTTTGGCCGACCGAAAGCATTTATTTTTCTTCCTTTTTTTCTATCAACGAAAACGTTTTTAATTTCCGCTATTCCGTTTCGAGGAAACAAAGTGTAGTTTTACGACACAAAGAGAGACGTGGGAGGATTCATCAGTCATTTAAAAAAAATAATCATTCGAATGTAACAAAAGTCAGTTTTGAAATTTTATGATTCATACTTGTAACCGGTTTCTAGTTTAATCAAGATACTTAAGGCCTAGCCGGCACCGATTATATTTATGAATGATAAAATAATGAGGGGACACGATTGTTATTAACTTCATTGTCTTGATTGCAGTTAATTGTTAGCGCACATGTAAAAAAAAAACGAGAATATCGTTCCACGTTCCTCCACTATATAATACAAGTAAATATTGTAATGTCTTTTATCCGATCGTTAATACATATTATACATCATTAGTGTATTTATTACGTACTGTATTACATAGCATAGTTTAATCATTATACATTGTTAGTATAGGGACAATTCTAGGCTGCGAAAAATCAATCGTTCCTCGACTATTTATATGCATTTCCTCAACTTAATTAATTAATAACACTTCGTTCGTTTAATTTTTTAATGACGTCATTTAATCTTCGTTGCACACGACTTTGTGTAATTCCGGTTTTTATTTTATATATTATTGTTGTTACTTTTTTACGCTTCGATTCTGATATAGTTCGCTTCTCTCTTTCTAATCTATCTGTCTATTTATCTATCTCTCTATCTATCTATCAATCTCCCTCTAGATAAAATATTGACTATTTATTAAGTTTTCCGTTGCATTTTTCGTATCTTTTTTGAAATGTTGTCACCTTTTTTCGAATAAAAAAGAGAAAAACATTCCTTCAGACGATTACTATGGTTTGACTATAAGTTTCATGTGATTGAGAAGAAAGAAAAAATGCTGTCGGTTGGTTTCGCTCGTATAGTATGAAAATTTTTAGACACATTGACCGTAGAGCGGCTTGAATGTCAGAATCGATAATCTTTTTCTCGCCGTTGCTGCTTCGATGTGCGCGCATTTATTTACATTTATCTGATAATACGCCGTACTCAGCATTGAAATACAGTAAACTGATACGAACCGAAATATAAACAATTCATTTCACCAGACATACATCCTAGACAAATAATCATTTGTTCTTTTTTTTATTCAATTTATACAATTAACTGTTGCGTCTGATGTTTTTTCAGTTTGATGATTTTCGAATATCTCTGAAATTATAGATGATATGACGAACAAAGCGTTTGAGAACTTTGATCTTCAATTGTTCTCTACACATTCTATGATATTTATATTTTAGTACCATCCAGAGTTTCAGAAATATTCAAGCGGGGTTGATTTAAATGGGTCATATCGCACATATGTATAATACGAGTTATGATTACAGTAAACTATGGAAAATTTGATTTGATGTTTTTCACACTTGTACATTGTATTTTCTGAGAATGGATCTTAACACCGTAGCTATTGGAACTCGAATAATTTGAAAGTTTAATCATTTCCTTTCAAATAATATTCTCAAACGAAGCTATTTGTATCACATTGTTCGCTTATTGGTTCATAAATTAAGTTTTTACAAGTGTTGAACAAATTATTAAGAAACTTTCGACCAAATAATGTAATGTTAATAGATCAAAAGTTATTATTTGAATGGAAGTATTTTAATGCTACGATTATGAACCAAAATTGTAAATTATCAATATTATTTATTACTCTGAGTTAACGAACAATTTTGGTGCCAATTCGAATCGAAAGCTGTTGTTTGTGGGATGCTTAACGCTGATGGAATTTCTAGGATGGTGCTAGCTTGTAATGAGTGAAGAAATTTCTGCGAAAAGTTTAAAGTTCCGCGACGATCGATTCGCGGATGCAGACGAGGAAGTGCGTGCGCACTCTGGGTGCATACACTCTTTTATTTCAAGTGCACGGTGCGAACCGTGCTGCACCGAAAAGGAAGTATGCAGCTGGTCTTGTGACAAATCGTGTGATCCTTCTTTTTCTGTGATACATCGAAGTGGCTGTGCTACAACGTGTCTTCGGTACCAGTGAATCGGTAAAAATGCGTGACAATGTGAGTCTCTCTGCACCTATGTCGTCATCCATTGTCGTCATCATCCGTTGCATTCTGGATTTCCTCCCCCTTTTCACCGGGTGCCGGAAAAATTCGATTTTCCTACCAGATAATTCAAAATGACATTTTACAAAAATAACACCACACGATCAACTATTTTCATGTGTGTCGCGGCTCTCATTTCACATTTTTGTAGATGTTCATTGTTTTTTTTTTTGAAATCTCAAAAGCGGCGGGGGAAAACTTAATTTATCTTATTTGAATTTTTGTAGCACTTTCATAAAATAATATAACATCCTGGATTTTATGAAATTGTATTATTAATATAATTAATTCAATTAGATGACATTTAAATTATTTTTTTCAAATGTAACAAGATGTTGAAGAATTATCTTGAAACATTTTTCCGAAACTTGACAGTTTCTAAAATTACATGTTTAATGGTTATAAGACTGAAAGGATATTGTAATGATTTCTAATCGATTGTTTTGTCTTCGTAGGAAGGGTTGGCATTGCACCTGTTACTGATACTGGTTCTGTGCGCCGACGTGTATACGACAACTGCCAAACACCTAATTAAAAAACGGAATTATAGCGACCAAAGCGTAAGAGGCTACCTGGCGGAGGTGAGCGAGCTGTAAACGAGTGCAGATTTGCAAATTTTTAGACATGAAAGATTAATTTGAGCACCCTAATTGTCATGAATTATCTTCACCGTACGATTTCAAATGGTTTTAGATAAAATATGGAGCGTATTTTAACGTGAATAGACAGTCCCAAGAAAACCGAGCATCTTTTGTTTGAAAAGTTTTTCAAAATTCCGTACGGGGTTCGAACGCAAACCATTGGCGTAAACGTTCGGGGGTCGTCACCGCTGAAAAATTTAAATAGCCGTAACTTTCAACCCGTGCAGAATTTTGAGAAATTGTTCGGACAAAAGTTACTCAGTTTTATGAGGATTATGTAATGATACCATTGGCGTAAGTATGTAGGTTGTCGTTACTAGAATTTATAAAAACTTCTTTGATATTTTATGTAAAAAAGATTCGAGAATTATGGAAAAACTATACATTCCAGAGGACTTGTTGGTGGAACGAGGTCTGCAAGGAGGAGTTCCATAGTAAATTTCGCTGCCGTTGCCCCCGATGGTCCTACTGCCGTGCCCCTGGTAGATACTACGACGCGCACTGCAGCATGACACAGACCGGGTACATTTGGACCCAGCCGGAGACCTCGTTGACCGTCGAAGTCAACAAATGATCCTTGCACAGGACACTTTTCTATTCGTTCGTCTCTTTCGCATAAATTTCTCGCAACAAAATTTCATGCTCCACGAGTAGTCACGTTTTATAGAAACTATTTACACTTGTTAATGTTATCTCTAGATTATGCAAGCAAAATTGTTCTGCGACAACGACAGAGCCTAGCAGAATCTCTCTTTCTTGCTTCAGACGCTGACACTCATGTGAATTCAACAAATTACTGTAACAGTAATTTTTCCAGACGCGTAGGTAGAGAAATTTTCCATTAAATTTGATTGAGAAATTACAGGCAACGATGTAGGATATTTAAAAAAGATTTTGAATATCGTTTTTTTCGAGTACTGTGAACGGATTTTTGGTTTCACAATTGACAATAGCAGGGCGCAAAAGGTGATATTTTTGTTGACAATTGTCCAGCTGGGCAAACGAATTTAAATAACAATAAGATTATTGTAGTCGAGAATGATATTGTTTAATATCGTAGCTTATTTGGATAATTCGATCATGTAATTAAGAATAAGTTTAGGATAAATTCCACGAGTTCGAGTAATGGAAAGTGTTCATATAAATGTTGTCGATTTTCTCGGTGTCCTTGTAAATAAATCGTACCGATTTAATAATTAATATATACCGTTTTAATTATGGTAAACGAATAAATGGTGACGCCATTGAAGTTGAAGCAGGTTTTTATTTTTCCTTCCAACGGCTACCATCTCGAGATCCATAAAATGTTCAATAGCTCATATATCTTATAAAATGATTGCACGATTAATTAAAATATGGGCGAACATATAATTACACTGGTCAACATTAATTTCGTGATTAAAAAAAGAAGTTGAACTGATTCTTGTGATAAAAAAATCTTTTACTTCGACGTCCAGTGTTATCGCAGTTTTTAATAATGACATTTATAAAAGTATTCTCTTGATTGCACGCGGTTGATTAGATTATACAAATTCCGATACCGAAGTATGATAAAAAACAGCGGATATTTTCAATTGTTATTTGAACTATGTACACGC